CCACAGTGACCGCCCCGCCGACCACAGTGACTACCACGCCGGTCACAGTGACTACCCCGCCGCCACTGTGACTGTCCCGCCGCCACAGTGACTCCGATCAAAGTGACTATAGTAACTGTGACTTCCCGACTTCCGGCCACAGTGACTACCCACCAACCGGCCACAGTGACTTCAGTGAGTCAGTCGGTGTGACTCCCGGCCCACCGGCCGAAGTTACTCAGCCATAGTGACACGCCACATTGACGCCACCCGCCGCCCCAACCCTGAATAAACTCCCCAACCCCCTCCCACTCCCCATCACCACCGGCACAGATCTTAGCCCCAGGTCTTCGCACAAACATGCCTCCTAGCACCTCCCTACCCCCTTCACCCAGTCACAACCAGATTCAACATCAGCCCCAACCCAAAGATAGATTCGGCCCCTCCTCCTCCTCATAAGCCCCCTCCACCAGCCACATCACACCCTAACCCACCCAGTGCCGCACAGCGGCATCACCAGCGAGATATCCTTGCACCAACAATTGGAAAGAGCCACAATAGATCTGTAATTGTAGCCACAGATCTGAAATTCGTCAATCAGCGCTATCCTTGAAGGGATGAGACGTATGAAGCCAGCAAACAACATCAGCGAAGAGGAGCAGCGAAGAGGTTGAAGTGTCATAGTGGTGGTCGCCGTTGTCTTCGCTGGAGGTCGCCGTCGTCTTCCCTGGAGGTCGTCTCGCCATCGTCTTCTCTGGCGGTCTTCTCGCCGTCTTCTTTTCTAGAGGTCTTCTAGCCGTCGAAGTCTTGCTCCGTCCTCTATGTTCGTTCGCAATAGGAGAAGGGAAGAGACGGAAGTTTCTTTTTTGAGAAGAGAGGCAAAAGTTATTTTTTAAGAAGAGGCGTGCGTACGGTTTTCTGGAAAAAATAAATCTGGTCATATTTTTAGAATCAAAACCTCAATTGTAATATTGAGGCAATTATAATTATTTCAAGTTTCAATCCAACCTCTTATTATTCAGACATTGCGTTAGTACGTGAAATTAATGTTCACTGTTCAAAAAATGGGTTTCTTCATACCAACATCGGGGGCTTTAATACAACTGTTTTCTTTCATTTCATCTGTTACTCTAAATGAATATACATGTTGAAAACAATACCAAACACAACATAATTTTTTGTCTGTCCACACAGACAATAGTATACATGTTTTTGTTTTCACCAAATTCATCTGTAAATTAACAAATACAACCATATGTTTGAACACTTTTATATAACTACATTAACTATTACTAAACTATTAAAAATGTACTACAAAATACAATTGTACCATACTTGCATGTGCATATAGACAAAGTTATATGTAGACATACAAATGAGTTGTCTGTCTGACGGATATTTTAGTTCAAGAATCCACCAAATATGAAACCACGTTTGAGTATACAAACACTGCAATTATAATAAGTTGTCTGTTAGAAAGACAACCCTTTTCAATTCGAAAACACACCAAAAAATCAAGGAAACAAAATCTAGAAAACAAAATTAAAAAAATGAAGATCTACTCAAGCGATTCAAAACTTGGTCTGCACCTTCATCATTATCTTCGCTTGAGGTCGCATCCAAAATGGCCTATGTTCGTTCGAGCATTATAGCTCCCATTTTGACATGAAAAAGAAATGACGGAAGAGGGAGTAGTTGAAGACGAGAGACGCTTTGCTTGATATGGCTATAGTTTCCTTCTATTTTATTCCATTTCATAGAATAGGAAGAAACAAAAAAAAGAGGCAAGAAGAAGATGGGAAATAAGAGGAGTATGGTGTAAAGAAAAAGAAAAGAAGGAAAGAAGGGAAGAGAGAGAGGTACTAATGGAGTGACTATATATACCATTTTTGTTACCAAAGATTGTACAACATGTCTCCATGACTCCATCTTTAATGGAGTAGTCTATTTCTACAAATGCACAGCCATGCGAGTAAAAAATTGAGGGGGAGCAAAAAACAGTCTCCAACGGAACTATCTATATGATGCGGTACTGCTCTGTCGATTTTCAGCAAGCCCCTCTGACGCTCTGACTCAGCAAACAAATAATTTCTTGGAGAATTAATATAGAGACTCCGTACGTTTCATTGAATTATGAGTGAATTATTTCCTCCAGATGCGAATAAAACTCGTTTGGAGGAGTTTCACACAGATGCGAATTACATTTCGTCCAAAGTCTTTAAAGTATTTTTTTATAATCTATTTTTTGTTCGTTTGATTGAATTATACGGAGTATATGAAGCGAATTATTTTTGTAATCTTGTTCTTTTGATCTTGTTAAATTAATTGCATGGTTTAGATCAAAAAGAGATTTAACCTCCTGTTGCACTTTCATACGTGATGTATATTTGCAACGGTGCAAGGCATATATAGTATATACTACTCCGTATATAGACACGGCAGGGATGAAATATATTGAGCTGCTGGAGAATTTCTTCGGGCTATGCCTCTAGAGAAGAAGACCAAATAATAACCTACGGCAATTTTAAATGTAGCGTAGAAAGAGTTGAATCGAGGATCTCATTGGAGCTTAAATATTATTTTAAATGTATGTCCACATCAACTTCATAGAGCGTCTACTGTGATGACATGTCCATTTTTTATGGAGTACAATCCATGTTATCATTAAAGATGCTCTCAAATCAATTAATTTAATAAACAAATTAAATCCCAAGAAAGTAAGGCGGCCTACAAAAATAGCTTTGTTGTGTTGGGAAGAAGACTTCGCAGCTTCGCAAAATGATTATAGATCATCAAAAGATGTGTGGTGTACACAAAATGTGTACACCATGTATACTTATCCGTTTTTCGCAGACAAGTTTTCTATCACAGACAACTCATTTAAAGTTGTTTGTGACATACAACTTGTTTGCGGACAAGTGTACACAAAAGGTGTACGCATTTTGTGTACACCTAGCAAAACTCATAGATCATGTCCCTTCTCCGCCTCTCGGCTTCGCCGAGGCTTTTCGAAGCCGCCAAAGCCTAATTTCTTGAGCCGTCATCTTCTACGGTCGGCTTGGAACCCAAACAAGGCTCCAAACAGTTGCGGACCCAGAAAATCAGAGTCACGGGGTCCCTAAATTAATATAACTCTTAATAATATAAAATCAAAGAAAAATGTCAAGCATAATGTTTCATAGTTAATGTATTCAACATGTACATAAAACTTGTCTTTTTTATTCCATGCTGAAAATCCTAAAAAAATAATTATCACCAACTTCCCACACATTTTAAAATGTTGCATCTTTGACAATACTATATTCCAACCACTTGTGCTCATCAAACCAACTTGAAACAAATTTACGTTTTTAGCAACAATTACTTTAAAAAGGAAAACATGATCCCGAGAGTTAAACGACCCTTTTTGAAGGTAATTACGACATACCTCGTCTTGAACACTAGGATCAAATCAGCATGTTGTTTATGTAGATTATAGGTCAAAGTAGTTTCACAGTTTCACTTTCAGCAAGTACAGAATCCAATTTTTTAGTTACTAAAGGCGAATCATTTGAATTAATATCTTAACTACTCTCAGTACTTCGAACTTCTTTAAATCTGGGTACACTACCAAAATATCTTTTCATCTTAAATTGTAAAAATTTCGAAAAAAACATTCATAAATACATAAATCTGTTACATTAAGTCAAAAAAATTTATAATTAATTAAAAAAATGAATTAATAAGAAGTGGTGGAGGTCTGAGGGAGATACGCTGATGACAATAGATTTGTTGTGGTCTGCGGTTGGTAGGGGTTTAAAAAATAAAAAATGGACCAAAACGACATCATTTGGTGTTTTAAAATGCAACTTTCATGGGCCAAAAAACGAGCATGAGGGTAGATTCGAACACAGTACCTCACAAATCAAGAGGTTTTAAACACGTGCATGCTCCCATCGCTCTACTGCAGCCATTAGTTTTCTATTTCGCTTATGTTTTATATATACATTTAACACTTAATATTGTAAAAAATATATGTAATATATATAGGTAAATTTTTCGAAGTCCACGGGGTCCCGGGACCCCATAGGACCCTTAGTGGGTCCGCCACTGGCTCCAAACCGGGTTGGACCGGGTGGCCCAGCGAGTCAGAGATGACCCCCGAAAATGGTCCGAGGTCGGCCGTAGTCCATCGAACCCCGCAAACGGCGATGACAACCTTCTACTGTTGAATAATCCACTGTATGGGGACAGCTGGGGTGGGAGGAGAAACTGTTCATGATCGCGGATGGGCTGTTTTGAATGGAAGCTCTAAACCGGCCATGCATGGATCATGGATGAACATCTGGGGTGCCCTAAGTTTTTCATACTATATCTGATTACCAGGCATACCTTTTCCTTCATTCACGATATACAAATTTAATAGAGAAAAGGGGCAACTAAGGCAAAGTACTAACCAAAAAAAGTCAAATAAGGCCTTATTTAAGAGGCTCTGTTTGGCCATCGCCATTTGGGGTGGTTCCCGGTGGAATTTTTTGATGGAAATTTTTGAGCATCTTATTCAGCAAGTGTAGTTTACGCATACCAAATTCCAGCTAAAAATTCAATCGGGAAGACATTCAAATGAATTCTCTAATATAACTGCGCAGTTAAAAGCGCAGTTATCTTCAAGAATTCATTTGAATGCCTTCTCGATTGAATTGTTAGCTGAAATTTGGTATGATCGAGTAAACTAGACTTACTCAATAAGATACTCAAAAAATTTTCTCAAAAAATTCCACCGGGAACCACTCTAAATGGCGAAGGCCGAATAGAGCCTCATAAATAAGGCCTTATTTGACCTTTTTTTTGTTAGTACATGGCTTTATTTGCCCCTTTTCCCTCTTTCACAATTTAATATAAAATCATACTTAGTACCGAGCATAATTTCACTTTTCTTAAAACGGCCCAAGTTTTGGTAATTACATCCAGTTCCATATATACCCGTTGTAATTGTTTCCTAATTAATTTCTTATTATGTATTTTGCAACTTTAGAACCCTAGAGCATTAGCGTTGCTTATTAATATCGCTTCTAATTACGCGACCTATCAAACCCGTTTCTCCTTGCTGATACCTTCTCTTTCATGGTCGATTCACACCGCTCGCAGAGAGGTAAAATTGCTGTTTTTTTATTATCTAAGAGGTAAAATTGCTGTTATTTATTTATTTATTTATTTATTTATTTATTTATTTATTTATTTATTTATTTATTTATTTATTTATTTATTTATTTATTTATTTATTTATTTATTTATTTATTTATTTATTTATTTATTCATTCATTCATTCATTCATTCATTCATTCATTCATTCATTCATTCATTCATTCATTCATTCATTCATTCATTCATTCATTCATTCATTTATTTATTTATTTATTTATTTATTTATTTATTTATTTATTTATTTATTTATTTATTTTTGCTTAACCGTCGCACATCTCTCTCTCTTTCGTTTCTCTTGAACCTCATAAAGAAATTCAAGCGAACAAGAAACAATGAAGAATGCGGAGGTCTACCGCTTAAGATCGAGAACAATATACGCATCTAAAAGCAGGTAAAAAAAATTTCCAACGTATTGTTTGTGAATCGTTTAATGTGATTTTTACCGTGGTGCTTACATGCCATCTACCGTTCTGATGTGCTTTCAAGGCAATACATCTCACGCACATGCATGGTATAAATGGTACTACCTCCGTCCCAACAGAGGGTGACACGGTTATCAAGAAATGTGAGTTTGTGTGGTTGATATTAATGGATAAAGCAAGAATAATTTAGAGCTACACAAACTTTGCCAAATATGATATGAGACAATTTAAGTGGGAATTCCCGAAAAGGTAAAACGGGACAATATAAATGGGACGAAGTGAGTATATGCCTATACACTACAAAAAAAATACGGGATTGAAACAGATTTAACTATGATTTCATGCTAAATAGTTCATGCCAAAGTATTTTTGGCACGAATTAAGCGTCCAGAATTTTTCCCAAATCCCTACCAAAATTCATCACAATTCTGTGTTTTTTTGTAGTTTTTATACACTAAAATTTGACTAACATCTGTCTATTTATGGAATTAGACCTTCCCAAACAAAAAGGCCTGGTAGATCTGGTCGGAGGAGGAAAGACTCAGAGTAAGTTTATTTGTTATTTATTTATTTAATTGATTATTTGTAAGTTTTGTAGCCTTGTATGTGTATGTAGATGATTATGTATGCCTGGACAAATGCGTGAAATTGGCTGATTTTTTGTTGGTTTAAAAAAAAAATTGGGTGGCTGTGTAGGCCTAAGAGGCAACCTGTCAACTACCCTGAAGGTCTTGGTCCGCCGCCTCTTGAGCCGACTCCAAAGCAACTAGAAGCCATGAAGGCGATGAACCGGAGGTTTGCTGAGCTAGGACTTGAACACTTCAATAACAGCAACCTTGTCTATGTCGGGGTTAGTGGCAATTATATTATTCAATAGGATAAGTGTTGAAGTTATTTTTTTAGAAGAAGGGTTAGCACATTACTATAAAAATGAAGGTGGCGTGTGATGATAGTAGGAGCTCCTGTGTTTACCCAGGATTGTGTTCCATCCTATGAGCTGGTGGAAACAAGGGAATGCACCTCATTCATGAGACGCATGACATCAATTCTGATGGTCCATGCCAACTTTACTGCCAAGGCCGTGAACTCAAATGGACCCATCATGCTCTTCTTTACTGAACTCTCATGTTCATGTCCATCAAAGAAACCTTTTGTAGCATCTAACATTGCTGTTCACAGCTGCCACTTGCTTGGCCGTGATGGTGAAGGTATGTATGGTGGCTATGTAACCCAAATTCAATCTGTTGTGCCTTATCAATGGGTTTCCTCTTCTTCTTTTGTCCTTGTAGGTTGCGTTATTTAACTAACGAAATGTGTCTTCTTCCTTTTGCTTGTGATATTCTGCAGTTAATACAAGTTCTAATGGTTGTCTTGCCTGTCACCACCGGCCAAGTCTTCATCACTCTCATGATAAAGACTTTCATGTTGGTCGTCTGATTCAATACCAATAATAAGCCCATTATTGATTAGTGTATGGTGGCTGCTGCTATTACTCAGTAGGCGCTTTTCGCCTTAACTATGTCACTGCTCAGTTATCATCATGTACTCGAATTATTTTAAAACCGTTCAGCATGTACTTGTGACCTATTTGTGGTTCATTGAAGCCTCTATCTATTGTGCTAAATGCAGTATGTTCCTGCCATTCCCTATTTGTGTTATTCTTCTTTAGGAATAATGGTCAGATAGGGCCTCGAACTTGAAAAAAAATGTCAAATAAGGCCATATTTAGGATGATCTGTCCGGCGATGCCATTTGGGGCGGTTCCCGGTGGAATTTTTTGATGAATTTTTTTGAGAATCTTATTCATTAAGTCTAGTTTACTCATATCAAATTTGAACTAAAACTTCAATCGGGAAGGCATTCAAATGAATTCTTGAAAATAACTGTGCAATTAAAAGCGCAGTTATCTTCAAGAATTCATTTGAATGCCTTCCCGATTGAATTTTTAGTTCAAATTTGATATGAGTAAACTAGACTTAATGAATAAGATTCTCAAAAAAATTCATCAAAAAATTCCACCGGGAACCGCCCCAAATGACGTCAGCCGGACATAGCATCCTAAATATGGCTTTATTTGACATTTTTTTCCAAGTTCGAGGCTCTATCTGACCCTTATCCCTCTTCTTTAACTATTGTATTTATACTTTGAGATATCCCAGTTGCCAGCCGGTTCGGTATTATTTTATATTCATCCGGGCTGCAGGTCCTTTTATTAGGCAACACATGCAAACTTTCAGATCCTTTTTTTGTTGATTTATTCAAGCATGAGCTTGTGTTATTTTACCATATCCTATTTGATTTGGTTTGATTCAAGATATTATTTTCAAATAACCTTATTTCACAAAACCGCTTTGTGTTCCAATTGATTCAAGAACCTCTCTTCTGGTTTATTTTGAACCTGAGGAAAAATTGTGTACGACACTATGTCGGTATGTCATTTGCTTGACAAATGACCTGAAATTTTAGATTCTAAGATAAGCTAATACTATCGTATAATAAATCTTTGACACAATTGAGTATATAGATGTAAAATGCCTTACTGCATATAAGCATATTCTTCTCCACTATTGTGCTTTTGCTTTTCACTTTTTTTTTTTATCATATTCTTTAGAAACCTTAATTTATGGTCATTTGTCCATCTCACTATACCCCTTACTTTCATTTGTAGAATATGTTTAGTGAATTGACCTTAATGAATATATTTTCAGCCCATCTCCCATATCTATTTTTTTTACTTAAATTGATAGTAGTGAATAAATTTAGCTTGGATTATGTTTTTATTTATCTATTTTTTAGTCTCTTTTAAAAAAATCGATACTCTTCTGGACTAAACTAATGCTTTACTTAAAAAAAAGATTAAACTAATACTTTAATGGACATCTCGTCATTCCTTTAAGCATTTTTCATCAAGGTCTTTCCTCTTTTGTATGTCTTCATTTTCCATATGAGTTGAGGATTTGACACAGCCCCGAAGCCATTTGAGGTCGATCAAACAAACCTTTTAATTTGCCCTCAAACTTTGCTTTAAGGACAATAGTTAATAAATTTAGCCTGGATTATGTGTTATTATCTACTACGTATTTTATAGTTTCTCTAAAATTATCGATACTCTTCTCTTGCAATGTACAGAAATCGACCATCTAGATTTAACTAATATTTTAATGGATATCTCGACATTCCTTTAACCCTTTGACATCAAGGCCCTGTTCCCCTTTTGTATGTCTTCAATTTTCATATGATTTGAGGATTTGACACAGCCCTGGACTCGCGTGGAGTCATTTGAGATTGGTGAGACAAACCTTTCGCCCTTGAACTATGTTTTTTTGTAATTACTATTATGACATTTATCGAAATGGAAAACTTTTAAGTGATGCTATGTTTTACTTTAGATGGCAATCAGCTGGTGCTTATGATGTGGAGAGTAAAACAGGAGGCCCCTTTGGTACAATGAAGCACCCCGAGGAATTCAAACACGGAGCAAACAATGGCATTGACATAGTTGTTACTTGTTAGGCTCTTGGTGCTAAATTGCTAATAAAGGAAAATTTCCTATTCTCACATATGCTCATTTCTATTAGGTGATCTATTGAAACAACGGTGCATCAAGCTTTACTTTGGTTGTTGTTTTGCCCTTTTCCCCTCCTCTAATCTTTGTATGACATTTCTACACATTTTTATACCCTTGAAGCTATATGGAATTGTGGCTGTTGAGATTACTGGTGGCCCTCAAGTCCCGTTTCATCCAGGGAGGCAGGTGTGCATGATAATCTCTCTTTAAAATTTAGATGTTTAAAGTGTTTTTGTGTTGTTAGGTTATCTGTATATCGATGAAGTCTTAAAATGTTCTTGGAACCAAGTTTAAAATTAAATTATGTTTAAGGCTGAGACTTTGCAACCAAGTACCGAAGATCAAACTGGATCGAACCGTTATTACCTGGTTCGGTTCCAACATTTATTAGTTAGGATGTTTTTTTTACTTGGAATGTAATATGCTGGTTGGGTCTGGTCTTTTTAAATCTGGTCTTGTCTGGTCTGTTCTGAACTGGTCTAGTCTGATCAAGTAAACGTCGGGTCTTTGTGTATTTTATAACTACGGAAGTCAAGTCTGGTCTGGTCTAGTCTGTTTAGCTCTGGTCTGATCTGGTATGGTCTGTTTAAGTCTGGTTTGGTCTGGTCTGGTCTGGCCTGTTTAAGTCTGGTTTGATCTGGTCTGAGATCGAAAACAGTCCAAGTAAAAACATCCATACTTGATAATGGTTCAACTCCGATTTCTTATTAACGGTTCAGTTCTCGGTTTCTAAAAAAAAATGTACTTAAAACCGTTAAGGAAATGATTATATATAGTACGTATATTGCTTATTATAATGTACTTCGTATAATGTATAATTACTTATTTATTTTTATTTTACACCGACTATTTTAGTTTGGTTATATATGTATTTACCATTATTTTTTATTTTAATGGGTTCCTCTAATTAAGGCTCTTAGGCCTGTCATTAGATGCTCAAATGGTTAGAATTGAGTGTTCTGCCTGTGACCCTTTGAGATGAATAAACTTTTTTGCTGACTAATAATGTTGCTGATTCAAAATCATTTATTGATTGTAGTGAATATGTTGTTTTGTTTCATTTACTAAAATTTTCGGCTTGATATTTATTTATGTTTTAAACTCAACTTTTGAGGTTTGAAATGATGTTTAAAAAATTTATATTTCTTTTAATTTCACACGTTGAATGTTTTTTGGGCACAAATTTAACAGTGATTAGTTAGATTTTTTTAAACTAGGAACCGTTAATTGACAAGAACTGAACCGTTAAGAATGGTTCGATTCCATATCGGTCTTATAAAACATTTATAAGAACCGAACCATTTTTTTTTTTAAACAGAACCGAACCATTATTAAAATTTGATATTTTTCAAATGGTCCCGTCTGTTTTGCCTAGAAACTGAACCGGTCGTCCCAGGCCTATTAATTATGTCTACGTGTAGTGGTGTGCACCAAGAATAGGCTTTGAGTACATCATTCCTTACTTATTTCTATAATCATGGACATGGGCGGAGCCAGGGAGTCAGGGTGATCATCCGACCCCCTGAAAGTTTGAGAGTACACAGATTTGAAATAGTTTCAATTTGATATATTATGACTCTCGTAAGTCATTATGAATAAAATGTCATGCCTCTAGAAAATTAGCACTTTTCAAATTTTAAAATGAGTAGAATTTGATGCGCATTATTGATTATATTCCTAAGTTTTAAAAATAGCGTGTAATTCACTTATTATTTACGTGACATGACTCAAGGATAGAGCAAATACTACCTATCTTACTTCTACAAGTGTCTACTCAATAGTCAATTCAGTTCGCATAAGAAATCCTGATACTAAGCTAGGTGGTATAGAGATTCATGGTAAGTCAAAGGGTTTCATGCAAGGCATCCACTGGTTCGGAAACATATTGACTAAACCCGTTTAAAATAAGTTTATAATATACTACGTATATGATATATATGAAATAATCTATAACTATATTAATCATATTTAAAGTTTAAACTATCATTTATCTAAGTTACATATGAAACATTCAACTATGATATTGTCTTAAGATAATCCACCGTTTTCATTCCGTATATAGTTGAATTTCGACCCCAATGAGTCATTTTTCTGGACCCGTCATTGGTCATGTATTAACTTACGAAATGAATTCAGGAAGATATACCGTAGATCCGTAGTACATAATGTTTGTCAACGATATTGGAGTAATTGATGCTATCACAATTGGGGTTACAACAAAGTTGAAAGTATGGATACAAACATCGGAGGATATGAGTTTCAGACTGAGTTAAAACATGACGGTGTATGTGGAGTATAAGTTTGGTTGAGGTAAAAGCAATGATAACAATGAGGTTATTGTAATGGCCCGTTTGTTCTGATGTAAAGTAAAAACTTTGCGTGTAAACTGTGGGGAAGTAAACATTTTACACCATTTGTTTTAACTATTTAAAGTAAATTGTAGGACATCTTTTAAACACATTTTACACTGTATTTTACGTGAGGGGAGGGTTGACGAGCACTTTGTCACGGTGCGTCAAAATAAATTCAATACTAACACTTATACGTAGTATAGTGTAGTAGAGTTCGTATCCATAGGGAAAGGAATAATTCTCTTTTTATAAAACTAGTAAATAAAAGGGGGGTTTAGGATTGAATGATTTAATTTAATTAAACACAAAGATGAACAACTTATATGTGATTTAATTCAAAGATAAAAAGGACTTGACATTGCTACTTTCCACTTGTTGATATATTTTAGTCGATCATTGTTATTATATCTATAACTTATCCTCTCTCGAATACTCAATCGAGGAGTATATCCAATTCATCGAGGGTAGTTATTAACAACGACCGTTCATTAATAACCATTACTATTAGTCAAGTATATAACACTGCCATATACCGACTTGATAGTAGCATTTAATCTCTTAACTCCTTGATGAAATCAATTGAGATTGATAACCTCAACACTACGGTTTCGGTTTAACCAACAAAATTAATCCCTCTTAAGTTCATTAACCACGACCGTGCATTAATAAACCGAAGTTACTTACTTGTGAAACCATCAACGATTAACCATCGGTTCGTTG